CCTTCCCCCTCATCCTTACCCATAAACACTTGACCTTATCATCATCACAATTGTTGAGCTCTAGACAATCGAAACACTCCCTAACATACAGAGCCACCCCACCGCCTCTCCTTCGTCACCTGTCCCTTCTGAAGAGTTTATAGCCATCCATTGCAGCACTCCAATCGTGGGAGTCACCCCACCATGTTTCTGTGATGGCGACTAAGTCATAGCTATCCCGCTGCACAATGGCTTCCAGCTCCTCCTGTTTGCCGCCCTCACTGCGTGCATTAGTGTAGATGCACTTGAGCTGGGCTATCGATTTCGCCCAGATTAGATTTAGATTGGACATAAGGAAGAAATTCTTTACTGTGAGGGTGGTGAGGCACTGTAAAAGGTTGCCCAGAGAAGTTGTGGATGTCCCATCCCTGGAAGTGTTCAAGGTCAGGTTGGATGGAGCTTTGAGCAACTTGATCTAGTGAAAGATGTCGCTGCCCATGGCAGGGGGTTGGACTGGATGATCTTTAAAGGTCCCTTCCAACTCAAACCATTCTGTGATTCTAATGCCAGCAGCTTGTGGATTCCTTGTAAAAGGACTTCCATTAAAGCAGAGTTGCTGCTGATGCCAGATGCTGCACCTTGATGAATTCTCGTCCCCGTTACAGTGGCAGTGCTGGACCCCACATTAACTGGGTGCAACAGAGAGGGGTGCAGGCTCTATGCCAGCAGCTTGTGGATTCCTTGTAAAAGGACTTCCATTAAAGCAGAGTTGCTGCTGATGCCAGATGCTGCACCTTGATGAATTCTCGTCCCCGTTACAGTGGCAGTGCTGGACCCCACATTAACTGGGTGCAACAGAGAGGGGTGCAGGCTCTCTGGAGCTGCTCTGCGAGCCTCGCTGGCAGGGTGTGCACAGCAGCTGCCGCAGAGCTACCTCTGGAGGTCTGCATCAGACCATAGTGGCATGTGGCACGCACATCATCCCAGCAGTGTAAACACAGCCTGCTCTGGCCCCCTTCCATTGAAACACCAACTAACACAGCCAAAGAAAAGGTGTCTGTGCAGGAGCTGGGCAGGTGGTGCGGGGCATGTCTGGCTGCAGTGTGAGGAAAGGGAGACCAGGGCAGGCAAGGGACAGCTCAGCAGTTTTGAGGAGGCTGCAGCCTCCGTACCCAGAGCTGGGCTGGGGCTGCAGCACTGTCCTGTGCTGGTGTCTCACTAGAGAGGAGATGGAAAAATGCAAGAGTGCAAAAGAGCCCCAGTGAGACCCAGTAGCTGCAAAAAGCCATTGTAGAGTGATACCTTTGAAGGTCTTGACCTGTTCAAGTGATCAAGGCGTGATCTGGGAATGGTGCAGCAGGTGTATAGGGGCTGTTGGTGGAGTCAGGCCAGCCTGCAGACAGGACACGGGCTTTTCAAGGGGATGATGTGAGGGGGTCTGCAGTGGTGAGGGCTCCCTGAGTGTGTGTGGTTCCCAGAGAAGTACCCCAGGCTGAGTCTCCCAGGCCAGACTGTGCCTGGCAGGCACACCCACTCCTGGACACTGAACTTGGGAGAGCAGTGAGGTGCCAGCTCTCCAGGGTGTCTCTGCTGGTGCTGCTCCACAGAGACCCCTCACATGCAGAGGGGCAACTAGCTCGTACATGTCTGCTTCATCCAGAGTCACTGATCACAACAGTCAACTTTGCAGCCTGCATGTTTGGGCTACAAACAAGCTTGGTTCTTGATTATACAATTAGAAGCATAGCTGAAGAGAAAGGGAAAAGAAACCCACCCCAAACCTGCTTACACAAGATGCTAAGTGCTTCCATAGGTCTCACTGCAAGCCCTGAAAGAGCTGCTGCAAAGCTGCAGGGGTGGTTTGGCCTGATGGAGCCCCACAGCTGGACTCCAGGGCTGGGGCCGCCTGCACCCTTGGGGGGCCGCGTGGAGCAGCAGACCGCTGAGCTGTTCCCTCCATTGCTCCAGCCCCATCCTCTGTCTCCTTGGCCATTTTGTTCTCAGTCTCCCCCAAGGATCCCCCTTCCTCCCCCAGAGGCTGCTCTGGCCACTTGCCCCTTCTCCATTCCTTGCTCAGGACATTGAGCTTTTCACCATCACAGGACTTTGTCAAGTGGTTAAAACAGGCTGTTTAGGCTAAGCTGGTCCCTCCAACCCACTTTTTCAGCAGCAAGGGTGTTAACCCATCTCCCAGGAGACAACGTCCTTCTGGTCTCTGCGACTTTCTCATCCAGATGCATTATCTTTCTGGAGGTCCCTAAACAACGCAAATTATTGGGCTCAGCACTGGGAGCACTGGGTGAGATTTATGTCTCCATGTGGCTGTCGAAAGTACGCAGGGCAGGGCTCCCTGTGCAGGGGAAGAGCTGTGGCTCCGCAGTCTGGCGGGCTCTGTGTGAGCAGAGACTAGAAGCCTGCAGGACATGGTGCAGCTTCGGGGAAGGAAAGGGTGCTGTGTGCCAAGGAGCTCTTGGTGTTGTGGGCTGGCACCTGTCCGGATGCTTCTTTGCAAAGAGCCCGTCTGGAGCCTTGGGTGACCCCTTGTCCTTGCTGCACAGGCTGAAACGCTGGGGGCTGAACTGCTACATGTACGCACCCAAGGATGAACTGAAGCACCGGCTGCTCTGGCGAGAGCCCTACACAGAACATGAGGCAGGTAGCGGCTCTGCTGGGCCCCAGCGGGGGTGGGCTGCAGGCGTCCAGGGTCCTCAAGGGTGAAGCATGGTCTGCATATCAGCCAGGGTCAGGCTGGCTGTTATCACTCTTCCTGCCACGAACCTGCCCATTGCAGGGAGCCCCACAGGCCCTGCCTAGTGCAAGGAGACCCCCAGACCCTGCCCGGCACAAGGAGCCTCCCCAGACCCTGCCCATCACATGGAATCACCTGAGAGCCCACACAGCATGGGGAGCTCCCCACATGGGTCTCTGGCAATATGCTCGAATATGCCAGGGCCCATAGACCCTTGCGGAGAGTCCTCTGTGCCCCAAGGGACACAGAAGGGACTGGAAACTGTCTCCCCTGGGCCTCTCCCCCCGAGACGCTCTCTCATGCCTCTCAATGCCCTCAGCTCCTTCCTTTCGGGCCACTGTGATTCCCTCTCCCTCCATCCCTTTGTCTCCCTCCATCCCTTGCCTCCCAGCGCTCACAGCACCCCTTCTGCTTTGTCCCCAGCCCGCATGCAGTCTCTCATCGAAGCTGCCCAAGAGCAAGGTGTGGAGTTTGTTTTTGCCATTTCTGCTGGCCAGGACATGGTGTTTTCAAGTGCCGGGGATCGGCTCCTGCTGCAGCAAAAACTGAGGCAGGTACCGTAGGCCATTCTTTCATCCCACTGCTCCCAGGCAAGGGCCATGCGTGCTTGTGTGTGGGCCCCATGCCCACCCCAAAGGCTAGTGTGGGGCTGTTAGCCCCTCCTGCTGCTGCGCATCAGGGAGCAGCTCTGTGGGGTGCCTGGTGGCAGACGTGCTGTCCCTGTCACGGTGACAGAGAACCGAGGGCTCTGTGGATGCCTGACTGCCAGCAGACAGCACTGGGGGCAGGAGAGGGACTGGCCAAGTCCCAGAGCTTGCTGGGCAGCACCAGAGGCCGGTGCAGGCTGGTGCTGAGCCCCTGGTCCCTGGGGAGGGTCAAGAGCCACCGGCATGGTGGGTTTGCTCCGTGGGCAGCTGCTCCTCCCCGCGGCACAGCCCAGGCAGCAGCTGCCCTGCACTGCGCCATGCCCGGCCACCTCTCCAGCCACCCCCAGCCAGCCCTGGCACAGGGAGCACCTGCCAGGGCATGCGGTGAAGCTCTTCCTGAGGCTCTGCTGGCCTCCGCTCCTGCCATGGGGCTCCCAGTGCTGCAGGGCGATGCGGGGGTGTGGTGCAGAGGGAGTGGACGTGGCAGGCAGTGAGCGGGGCTGCCTGGCAGCGGCATGGTGTGAGCAGGCTCTGGGCCACCGCAGCATGGACTCTGGTTTGAAAGGGCTCCTGGCCCACGGCAAACATGGCTGTGCCCAGGGCTTGGAGTGAGGTGGGCCGTGGCCATGGGGCTGGCGTGCACCTGTGGAGTGGATGGGTCTTGTGCGCGGCATCTGCTGGGCAGGTGTGGGGGACACGGCAAGGGCTGCTCTGCCCGCCCCGTCCATCCGCGTGCCCCAGACCTCTGCTATCTTTATGGGGCCCAGGCGGCAGGGGCTCGTCTGGGGCTCGCTGCCTCCTTTCTCTCTGCTGCCCAGGGATCCTAGCAGCCCGTGCCCATGCCCGCAGGTGGCTGCCATGGGGTGCCACTCCTTCGCGCTGCTCTTTGACGACATCGACCCCTGCATGTGCCAAGCTGACAGAGACGTCTTCCCCTCCCTGGCGCAGGCTCAGGCCTCTGTGGCCAACGAGGTGTACCGGGAGCTGGACCAACCCTCCGTCTTCCTCTTCTGCCCTACAGGTACCGCCTGCAGCCATGCAGCCCCAGCCACGCCCGGTGCTTGGCCAGCCATGGCACCCCACAGCAGTCCAGGGTGCCCTTCATCTGGCTGCACCCAGCACCTGTTTCTGCTGAGACCTGACTGCCCTGACAGCCTCCACGGCTCCCCCCAGCCCCGTCATGCTCCTGCAGGAGCCCTGGAGATCTCAGGACTAGGACAGGACGAGGCTGCAGACGGGCTGGCGCTTCAGCAGTCATGCATGCTGTATTCCCTGCACCACGCATCTCCCCAGCCCCTATCCATTGATCCCAGGCAGCCTCTCCTCTCCCAGTCTCTGCCCCTCAAGGGATGCTCTGTGCTCTCTCCCCAGAGTACTGCAGCTCTCTGTGCTCTCCCAGCCCCAGCCAGTCGTGCTACTTGCTGACCCTCGGCCAGGAGCTGCTCCCAGGGATCAGTGTCATCTGGACAGGTCAGCACCCAGCCCAGCTCTGTGGGGTGTGTGGCCCTGTGCAGCTTCTCAGTGAGAGCCAGCGTCCTCAAACCCTGCAGCCACGGGCTCCATCCCAGGAGAGGCGCCAGCAAGTGGCCCCGTCGTGATGCTTTTCAGCATTGGGGTGTGCAGCCCCGGCTGGGCAGGCAGTGGGTTGGGATGTGGGTCTGCTCTCCTTCTGTCTAGGGAGGATGGGGTGACTCGACTCTCATCAACATGCTCAGTGCCCAGATGTGTGCATGTCCCTGTTGTGAGTGTGCATGATGGACTGCGCTGCCTGTGTGCTCCATGCATGTCTGTGCCATGATGCTCCAGGCCCAAAGGTTGTGTCACAGGAGCTCTCAGCCACACTGCTGGAGGAGGTGGAGGGTGTCCTGCAGCGCCGCCCCATCATCTGGGACAACCTGTACGCCAACGACTATGACTGCAGACGTGTCTTCCTGGGCCCCTACACGGGACGTGCCCCCGGCCTCATGCCCAGGCTCCGTGGACTGCTCCTCAACCCCAACTGCGAGCTCCAGGCCAACTTCATCCCCATACACACATTGGGCAGCTGGTTTCGGAGCGAGCTGGGGAGCTGTGCCCACCCTGATCATGCAGGTACCTGGCCTCAGCACCCCAGGCAGCTCTGTACATGGGGCCCCAGGGCCGGCAGTGAGCTTGTGCACCCAGAGCAGGGCCCTGCCCATTGCTGCCCATCTTTCCTGCATGGCAGCCTGGGTGAGGTGTCTCACCTGGCTGGGCACCACCTGACATCCCAGGGCATGGGATCCATCCTGGGGGCATCTCCTTGGGCGGGAAGGGGTTGCCTGCCTTCAGTGTGGCATGGGATAGCTCCATCAAGCAAAGAGTGGGGCTGTCCAGGCTGATGAGCTCCAGTTCCTTAGGGATGGAGACTGCGGCAGCCCTGGGGGACAGCCAAGGCCCACAGGAGGGGAGCTACAGCCCCCAGGAGGCCTTGGAGCTGGCGCTGCATGACTGGGTGGCTGAGATAAACCGGCAGGCCTTGGAGCCAGGTAGGTAATGAACTCACACCGTGTAGCATCCCTCACCCCCTCTGGAGTGCTGGTCCGGCTCTGCTGGGAGCTCAGTGGGGTGAGGGAGCCCCATGCCCTGCCCTGCAGACCCACATCCCAACCCACTGCCTGCCCAGCCAGGGCTGCACACCCCAGAGCCCTGCCCATGCTCTGGCTGGTGCAGCGGCGGGGTCTGTGTGTGTTGTGGTGGGCAGGTGTGGGTGTCCATCGTGCCATGCTGCCCCATGGGTGCTCCTGCCCTGGCTGCATCCCAGAGAGAGGTCTTAGCTGGCAGCGTGGGAGCCTGGGCCATGATACAGCTCTGGAAGAGGGGGTTCAGCCAGGTGCAAGCTTGGTGTTTTGCAATGTTTGCCTCTGCAAAGCCTGTGGCCTCACCAGCCACAGAGGCCTGAACTCCAGAGCACAGAGCGATGCAAAGCCCATGGTCCTGGCAGCTCCCCAGTCCCTGCCACCTTGGAGATGGAGCTTCCTGGCACAGCTGCCTCCAGGGCTGTCCTGCCCCATGGGCAGCAGTTTCCATGCAGGTGCCAGAGGGGCTGCCCCCTTGCTCCTTTCTGCCAGGAGGAAGGACCCCGGGACACCCCAGCATCAGCCTCAAGGGAGGAACAAGGCTGCAGCCCAGCACAGCGGGAGGACAGGAGGTCATGCCCGATGCCCAGCCCCACGACTCCGTTCCCAGTGTTGCAGACCAGGATGGCCCTGAGCCCTGCAGTGTGGCACCAGGGGAGGGAAGGAGGAAGGTGACCTCAGAGCCCGAGAAGGGCAGTGAGAGCAGGATGCCCACTGGCGGTTGGCAAAGCCCCACAGGGGATGGGGACCAGCTCACCACAGGGAGCAGAGAGAGCTGTGAGCCCTCCTCTGCTCTGCCCAGCACAGCTGGGAGTGCCCAGTCCACAGGAACCCTGGTGGCTACCGAGACCCTCCACAGCCCAGGCCCCCCCATGTGCTGCAGCAATGAGGCCAACACCAGCCAGAACCTTCCCCTACCCACCAGTGATGCCAGGACAGGGGGTGGCAGCTCCCCCCAGCCCCCCAGCAGTACCCAGACTGAGGTCAGCAGGGCCAACATGCCCCAGAAACCCCCAGGGCCTGGGGCTTGCACCAGCCCTGGCCCCCCAGCACCACTCACTGATGAGGTTGGTGCTAGCCCTGGCCCCACGGCACCATTAACCCCAGAGGAGACTGGGTCCAGCCCCATGGCCCTGCTGACCCTGGAGGAGGCTGGGTCTGGCCCCACGGTACTGCTTACCCCCAAGGAGGCCAGGACCAGCCCCACAGCACCACTGACCCCAGAGGAGGCCAGATTCAGCCCCATGGCATCTCTGACTCTGGGGGAGGTGCAGATGCTGGTGGAGCTCTTCTACCTGCCCTACCATCATGGACCACTGGCGCAGCATCTCCTGGAGCACTTTCGGTGGCTCTGGGCAAACAGCCTCAGCGTGGGGGTTCCGGCCACAGCACCCGATGACTGTGAGGTAAGGCTGGTCCGGGCACTGCTGCTGGACAGTGCCTGTCACGGTTGCACTGACGCCCAGTCTGTCCACAGGGCATGCAGTGGCGCGGCCGAGCCCAGTCCTTCCAGCTGCTCTGTGCTCAGACGTGCCGCCTGCACAGCCGCTTCGTCAGCAGCGCCAGCCAGGCGCTGCTCTATGACCTCCACCCCTACCTCTGGGACATCCGCAACATGCTGCTGGCTGCCAGTGCCTTCGTCCTCTGGCTGGGTACGTGGCTTATGCCAGCCCCGAGCCAGCCCCTGTGGCCCCATAGTGGGTATTTGCACCCTGGCCAAATCCAACCATGTCGAAGTGCGGGGGCCTCTGGGCACTGTGGCACACCCAGGGCATCTGAAGTTTGTTCTGTGGTGATCCACTGTTTTCCCCCTCCAAAGAGGTGCAGGTGTCTGGGACCCCCTCCCAGAGGTCTGGGGTGCCCGTGTCCAGCCATGGGTGCCAGGGTCTCTCCTGGGAGTGCACCTCCCCTTGATACCTTCCCAGCCGCTGACCCGTGTCCTGTGCTCACCACCTCACCTCCTTTGCAGATGGCCATCTGCTCTGCGACCCTGACCCCAAGGGCACCTGGGGAAGCTGCTTTGGCTGTAAGTACCGGTGCTGCTCTGGCTCACCTGCCTGGGCAGTGGGGCCCTAGCTGCTGCCCTCCATCACCTCCAGCCCCGCAGCAGCAGCCAGCACTCGCCATTGGGCTGCCCTTTCCCATGCTCTGCCTGCCGAGCGGAGCAAGAATGGCCATGGGAAGGCTGGCACCCCTGTGTGCCCTGACACACTGAGGCAGGATGGGGCACTGCTGCTGGGGACAGGGCAGTCATCAGAGCAACTCTTCACCATCTCTCACAGTCTAGAAGGAATGCCTGTTTCTAGGACAGGGTTCCTCAGCCCTTTTAATCCAAGGACCCCTTAGCCTTTCTGATAAAAGGGATCCATGGGCCATTGTCAGCAGTAATGCCCTCGGTGACAGAGGTGAGGTTGGATTTTGAATGCCTGTGCATCACTTTGGAAGCCCCTGTTGCCCTGGTTTAGGGTTCCCTGGTTGCTCTGTGGGCCTTGTGACCTCTTACAAACCAAGAACTGTTACTAGAAGACAACCTGAGAGGGTGTCCAAGTTCATTGTGAGACGGGGCTATGTTCATTGAACCACTTCTGCAGGGAAGCAGCCGCACGCAGGGCAAGTTCCCACAGGCACTGCAGAGCTGGCTGGCTGGGCAGCAAAGCAGCGCACTGCTCTCCATGCCAGACTGCAGCTTTCCAACTGTAGCCAGGAGCTGTGTCTTGTCTTTATGCCTTTCCTGGAGGCAAGGTCATTCCTTTCTCCATTCCCCCACCTCAAGCCCTATTGCAGAGGGTGTGCTGCCACCCCAGTGCATGGGGCTGGCTGCTTGAGCCCAGGCGAGGTCCCATGCCCGGGCTGCACAGCTGTGGGGGCAGATCCTTGGAGCTGTGACCATTGTGGATTGTGATGTTGCTGTGTGACGGAGGCTGATCTTCCCCCGGCCCAGCAGGTTTCTGTTCACCTCGCATATGTCTGTCTCCTGCTACCTCCAGGGTGCCAGAGCATCACTGCCCCGATCTTGCTGGGGGGGGACGCTGAGCCCTGGGCACGTCGTGGGGGCCTCTTTGGAGAGCTGCAGGTGAGAGCATGCCCATATCTGTGGGGGCTGAAGGAGGCGTTGGGAAGCCAGGATCCCTGCTGCTGCTCCTGGCCCTGCCATTGGGTTGCTGCAAGCTTGGGAAGGCAGAGCTGCCCCAGGCCTCTATGCCTTGGCTGCGGCTCTTGGGGTTTAGGGTGTCTCAGAGGGACCCTCCTCCTGCTGCCTCCAGGACAAGGTTTGGAGCCAGGACAACCTGCTCCCTGATGGACTGTATCTCTTCCAGGCACTGCTGCCCGTGGGGAACAGCTGTGACCTCTTCTACCACCCACCTCCACTCTTCCCGTCCAGTCAGCTGTACCTCCTGCACCCGCTGCTGCCCCTGGACAAGGTGGGAGCCACGGCCCGAAGGGGTGGCCCGCACCACTCAGGCCAGAGCTCACCTTTGCATGGCCTGTGCTGTACATGCACTAACAAGATACATGCTCGTCTGCCGCTGACCCCAAGACTGAGCTTGCAGTGCAGGGTGATGCAGGTGGGAAGGGACCTCTGGGGTCCAGCCCCTGCTCAGAGCAGGCCAGCCTGGGGCAGGTCACCTAGGGCTGTGTCCAGCAGCGTGTCAGCCCCCTGGGCTGGAGAGTGGGTGTTGTGGCCAGCGGCGTCGGCAGGGACCATCACCCGCCTCCCTGCGACAAGCACCCAGGCAGAGCCCCTCCTGGTAGCCAGCAGCAGGAGAGGGAGACCCATCTCAGAAGTGAGCAGCAGGCACAGCCACAGATAAACTGGCACAGACTCGGGGTCACCAGGTTGCGAGGACTATCTCCAAAGCACCCCCAGCACTGATCTCCAGCGGTGGCCGTGAGCAGATGCCAGGAAAGATCTAGAACAGGACAAGTCTGGATGGTGACCTCCTGCAGCCTTCATCAGTCTGCAGCTCTGGGCACTGCCTGAGCCTGTTGAGGTTCATCTCTAAATCAGTCCCTTTTTCAAACACTCATCCACTTTACAGGATGATTCGCCGCTGGAGAGGCAGCAGCCTCTGTCAGTCGTGACCTGCTTGCTGCCAGGCCCCCTGCTCTATTTGACATCCCAGCAGTTTGATGGGATGGGAGGGGAAAGGGAGAATTTGGAAGTGGGTGGACACACAAGTTAAACTGCTGCCAAATCCAGCACATCCCGGGGTTCCCTACGTACTACACAGTCTGCAGCAGACACCCTGCTTCCTCACCCTGCTGCCTCTCCTAGCTAAAGGAAATGCTAACGCTGCAAATCCAGCCATCGTGGACACAACTGCACATCCCTGCTGAATACAGCACCCGGCAATGCACAGCTGCAGCGCTTGTAAATAACAGAGGAGGAGTCGCAAGCACATGAGAGCAGATTATAAGTCAGACTGCAGCTGCCAGCAATTCCCATTGCAAGAGCTTGTTTTCAATTGCCTGTTGTCAGATTTCATCTGATCAGGCTAAACTTTAACAAGCTGAATGTCTGTGTCCAGTGAAACTTTGAGAGAAAAATCCAGCTAAGCACTTCAGCCTGTCCTGGGAATGGTGCTCAGAAGTGCTCTGTCCTGCCCTTGTCGTTCAGTGATCGGGGCAACCTTTCCTTTGAGAAGCAGTGCTTTTATCGGGATGTTCTTTTCACTGATCCTGGAGCAGCAGTAAACTCAAATCTGACCAAGATGGGAAATTTTGAGATGTCCCACTTTGCACATGCTCTGTGGAGACTTGAGTTTCAGTATTGGTTTTGCTGCCATTCTGGCTGCTCTGAGCATGCTCTGTCCTGGGGCAAGCAGCATTTCTTCAGCAGCTGCTGTTCTGGGATGCCTGACTGGAATGGCAGTTTCTCATTTTGAAGTGTTGCTGTGCTGTGGCAACGAGCCTCAGAGGCCAGCAGAAGGTGGTGCATGGTGCATCACTTTGCGCAGATGCCAGCACCCTTGGACGGCTGAAGCACATAGCTTCATACCTTCCCCTGGCCAGGACGTGCTGGAGGCCACAGCCCTGGTCATGGTCCCTCTTTATGGTCAACTTGGGCAGCTGCTGGTACACCGTGCTCTGGCAGGGGCTGTGGCAGGGGCGGCAGGCAGCTGAGGGGCAGCAGTAGGGCAGGGATTGGGCAGGGCAGGCAGAGCCAGGGCTGAGGTGTATCTGGGTCTTCCAGGGAGAACTTTACCAAATGTGCCAGGAGAGTTTGGACTGTGACCCCAAAGTTGCAGAGATCCTCGCGGCCCACCCTGATCTCCTCGGTGACAGGTGAGATGTGGCCCGTCTGGGGCTCCCTCTTGCCAGGTGTGTGCCGAGCCCGGCTATGTGCTGGGTGATGCAGGGCCATGGTGTGAGGCAGTGGCCTCTCCTCACATCCGTGTGGGGACCAGCTCTGCCTGCACCACAGCTGGCGGTGGCCTCACCCTGCGGGAGGGGACAGGGAGGGCAGTCCCTGCACTAATGTCCAGCTGGGTCGTGGCAACGGCAGTGGGGATGGACCCACTGTCCAGCCTGGCTGCAGGGGGGTTGTGGTGGCTCCCCTTGGCTCAGGGTTTCTGCTGGGGGGGTCTCAAAGGGATGGTCCAGTGGGTGCTGGGGTGCTGTCCCGCTGGGGCAGGAAGGAGAAGGCTGGCTGGTCTGAGCTTTCCCTGGGGCAGGCTGGGCTCCATGTAGCAGCTCAGCGGTGCTTCTGCTCTGACTGGCAGGCTGCTGGGCAGCTTCCTGAGCCTGAGCCCAGAGTACACGTTTGTGCTGGAGGATGAGGGCGGTCCATGTGGCTACGCAGCCGGAGCACTCTGCGCTGAAGGCTTCCTGCAACAGCGAGACAGCAGCTGGCTGCCGGCCATGCGGCACAAGTACCCCCGAGACCTGGGCGCAGGTGCGCCAGCTCTTGGACAGGTGAGGGGCACCTGGAACAGAGGGGAGGGGGTATGGGGGGGATGGAGGAGGTTCCCTCATTTGTGTTTGTCTCCTGCAGGATGCCCTGGAGGAAGCACTGCTCTTCTTCCACACAGAGCCACCGGCTGTGCCCCTGCCTGTGCTGCGGCGCTTCCCCTCCCTGGTGCAGCTGGGCACGGCCCCCCGTGTGCTGGACGTGGGGGCCAGCCGCAGCCTGGCTATCTGCTTGCTGAGCGCACTCAGGGCCAATGGTGAGCATGACCTCCCCGTGCTGGGGGAACTGAGGCCCCCTTGATCCGGCACAACCCCATCCCGACTGCTCCCTTGCCCACCCCAGAGCTGGAAGCCAGCCCCACCTGCACCCTACCTCTCAGCATGGGGCTGGGGTAGCCCTCACTGGGGCTCCCCGTCCCCTCTCTGACGCAGTCTGGCCCCAGCTCCCAGGCACTGTGCCCTCCCCTTGCACCAGGGGACACGTGGACCTGTGTCTCAGGGCATCACGCAGGCACCCAGTGCCAAAGGGCAGTGGAGAGGCTGACCCCTTGTGGAGGGGCTCCCAGCCACTGGCCCCCAGCCCCAGCACTGGGTTCCTGGTGCCAGGGGCCTGACCTCTCACCTCCCTTCCAGGGTCGCGGGGAGTGTTTTGCCAGGTCAGTGCCGCTGACCAGCAGCAGCTGAGCTTCTACAGCAAGCTGGGCTTCGTCGCCCTGCCAGTGGCCTGGGGCATCTCCCCTGGTGCTCGGCTCCTGGGACGTCTCCTCTGAGCACACTGCATTGGGTGCGGGCACAGGGAGGCAGTGCCATGGGACAGGCTGACGCCCCATCCCGCACAGCATTGGCCTGAGGGAGCAGGAGCAGAGGGGCACCTTGAGCAGGGCAGGTTCACACGATGAGGGACATGGCCTGGGAGTTAGCAGTGTGTCACTGGGATGTGTGCAGGGGACTAGGCTGTGAGGGTACTTGGGCGAGAGAGGTATTTCTGCCATCTCAGGAGATTTGGGCATCAGGGCCCCTCCACTCCTCCCCCAACTGTTCCTGCTTGCTGAGCACCCTCCACCTTTGCCGGGGAGCCAGCAACATCCCCAGGCTGTCTGCAGACCACCAGGCCTGGCAGGAGCCACATGGGCAGTATTTAGGGTGGTGGTCTCGGAGCATGGCACAGTGCATTAGCGCTAAGGGAGTGTCCCTATCCCACAGGCTGGGCTGTCCAGCTCTCTCCATCCCCTGTGTGGCCCTAGGCTGGGCAGCTGGTGCTGGGGCTGGCTCTCGGCACCAAGGACCTGCTTGTCTGTATGGACTGATCTGGTATGGGACACAGTGAGGCAGCCTCCATCTCTGCTGCCCAGGGGCTGAGGGAAGTGCTGTCCTTGGCAATAAAGCATTTGCTGGGCTCTCACCATGGTTCGCCTCTTGGGGGAAAGTGTTGGGGTACCAGCATGTCCCTCTCACACCTCTCACACCCACAGCCAGCCCTGTCTGTTCACCTCACACCGGCTGGTGTTATAGCCGGTCCTGTGTAACCTCAGACGAAGCAGCTCCCCACACATCCGCCTCTCCAGCTGCTCACCAGCCCTCGGCCTCCCCCTGCACTGCGCTCCAGGAAGGAGCTTCAGGCGCTGGCAGTGTGTGCTCACAGCAGGGCTCCCCATGGGTTTGGGCGGACCCCAACCCTACCGGATGGGGCTCTCCTGCAGGATGGGACCCCCTGGGCCTGGGCCTCCCCTGTGGTCACGGCTGCCTTGTGGGTCTGGGGGCTGCTGCATGTCCAGGATAGGCAGGATGGCCAAGTCTGTCCAGCCATCCTGCTGCAGCCTCTGGAAAAGAGGGAGGAGTGGAAGGAGCAACCGCCACTGAACGTTTCTCTTCTGTGCCCTCCAGAGCTGGCTGCCCCCTGGCCCCAGGGGTGAGGAGGAGGTTGGGGCAGGGGTGGCCATGAGACCAGGAGCGGGGGGCACTCGGGCAGCCCTTCCCAGTGTCTTTGCAGTCTCTGGCATGCCGTGCCCGGAGAGCCGCTAGAAGGGTGGCAGCAGCCCAGTCCCTGTACCCGGGGCTGCCGTGGGTTACCCAGGCTGGGCGGGGAGCTCGGTGCTCCCGGGGTGGTGGGACCCAGTGGCCGCGGCCACGCGGGTTGGAGCAAGGCTCGGAGACCCTCC